CTTCATTAAGCCTCACTCCCCCATCACACACAGACATGGGCCCATTCACATGCCTTCAATAAAAACAAATGGAAACTAGTAAAACTCTAAAAATCTTGTTTTTAAAAAGGCTTATAATGTTTCAGTCATCTTGTTTTACATAATCTATCTTATTTAAGTTTTCATCATAAAAATTGAGAAACTGAGACTTTAAAATTAATCTTCTATGGTTAATAAGTGATGAGTGGCAGAAATGGGAATGGAAACCAAATTTCATTAAGTGCAAGTTTCATTCTCTTAGCCGCTTCCCTCTTTCCCCACACACTTCAAGTTTTACTACATTTAGAATTTTAAAGTATTCTTGTTACCCCTGATTAGCACCCAGAGAAGAACCCAGGCTCCTATGTGTTCACTCATAAGCCTTTCAGTTCTTAGTTCTGCCCAGCACTGTACCCTGCTCTTTCTTCTCCCCTACTTGGCTTGCATAATCTTCCAAGACCCCCCTTCTTTGGGTCTTGATCCATGCAGGTGCCATAGGGCTTTAGGTCCTGCTTTAACCTTATCACCACACAGAGGAGCAGATGTGAGCCTCATATTTTCAAACACTTGCATTTGTATCATACTTTCATGGGAGTCAGTGCCCTTTAGGGAATGACTTCCCTTGAACAAATGTGTTTGGAACCATCCACCTTGCAAAGTGCATGTTGCATGAATATCATAGAAATTCAGGGACAAGTTGGAACAGAGAAAAAGGTACATTTAATGACCAAAATATTTTCCCTGAGGCCTCAGATTCTTCTACCTGGGAATGATTTAAATACGAGGGAGAATCGGATTCCCTGTTTACTGCACAGTTGATTTCTCACCTGGCTAAAATTAGCTTTTAAATCACTGGGTTTTCTGCCGCTGCAGTGCACTTGGTCCCCTGTGACTGAACTGTTAGACTCGCTTTTACTCCTGCTGATTACCTGTGATTATCTACCTGGTCAAGTTGTCGGGTGGCTGCACCTACTGAACACTTTCACATCTGCAGTTGATTAGCTCTCTAGCCAACCCCTTGATCATAGATTTTATACCTAAATTGTCTTATCTCCTTTTGTTCATTTGGAATTGAATCGCCCCCAAAATATAAACCCTCCTCCCAGGAGTGACTGGTACATGTTATTCAGCATTCTGATTTTATGACATGCCCAGACAAGCTCAAAATTAATTTCATGGCAGGAAAGTTTCTGTATTTATTATTAAGACAGATTTTCCACTTTATGCAGAACTCCCAGGGACTGTGTTTCATCAACATTTGGGAGTCAAGGTTGAACAGAACGAGCACCATGGTTCCCCCGGCTCTCCTCTTTGGTTTATCTTCAGGATGTTTTGCTAACTATGCACTTCCACAAGTAAGGTGCAGAGCTCCTGGGAGAGAAGCTTCATCAGGGAAAATCATCTGGTCCTCCTCTGTATTACCTCTTCTAGCAATGTGCTGGTTCCACATGGCCACGTCTTAGTTTTCCAGCTGCATACATAGAATATGAGTTGCAGTCAGTGTTTGACATTATCATTTTCTCCCAATAGCAAGCAAAAGTGAGTTCATGATAGTAACTCTTTTTAATATAATCTGAATAAATAAATTGTAGATTCACATTGCAAGTAAAAAAAAAAAACACCATGATTTAGGCATTGGAATAAGCTAGTAATATTTTTCTTGGTTGAAGTAAAATTAATTTACAAAAGATTTAACTCCTATTGAGAGTTGTGCCAGAATGACTATCACAGCAGTTTACTTGTTTTAACTTGTTTAGTTCTTAATTATAACCTTCTGGGAAGGTAATACTATTATTCTGATTTACAGCTGAGAAGACAGACACAAATGAATTAAATTGCCCAAGACCTTATAGCCAGTCAATGTTGCTTGGCTTGACCCCCGTACTTCTGAATATTGAATAGGACTTTAAAATGTTTGTTTCTTATATATTTAAATTTTAGTTCAGTAAGTACCCTTTTTCCCCTCAGGCCTCATTTTTTACTATTAAGATTCTCAAAAAAAAAAATTGTAGGAATTTACTACTTTTTCTTTTGTAGATAGATATTAATGTTTAATAATAAATATTTGAATAAGGGAAATAGGTTTCTGGTTAAATTTTTAAAATTTATTGCTCTGAAATTAATGTGAATAAAACAATATGACTTTGAATTTCAATCATTTTTGTAATTATTTTGCTGCCATCTAGCGAACCATATGAATTTTTTAAACATTTTGCTGTCATCTAGTGGCTAAAGTGAAAATAACCTATGCCTTCTCAGCTTCATTTTAAGAATTACCTACCTTGGGAACAGTTTCTTTCTTTCTTTTTTTCTTTTATATATATATATTTATATTTATATATATTTAAAATATATATATATATTTTAGTTATAGATGGACACAATATCTTTATTTTGTTTATTTATCTTTATGTGATGCTGAAGATCGAACCCAGCGCCTCACATGTGCAAGGCAAGCGTTCTGCTACTGAGCCACAACCACAGCCCCTTAGAAGCAGTTTTTAAAAATCATTTAACTTGTATCGAGTCTAACATTTTTAAAAGTCTGACATTAACAGTTAACAATCTTCTTTCTCAACTCTTCTCATTCTTCCTCTGATAAATAATTCACTCTCCTTATGTTCTGGTAACTTCTTTAATATCAAATAAGGCATTAGAAGAAAAATTATTTTTAATAATTACCAATTAATTTTCTACAGATATGATAGTTAATGTGCTTTGGGGATGATATGTTGTTCTAGACCTATTTTATTTGTGTCAATTCTTATTTGGATAACCGACATAATTTTTCACATGTACCTTAACTTGATTATTGTTGATCCATTTCAATTGTATTTGTTTCATTATATAAATGGTTACCGCCAGACACTAAAAGTTTCAAATTTGCATGTTCTAGGTAGAATACTTCCAATTCACTACCATAAATATTCACCGATTGTACATTTGAAAGCTTATATCAGATGTCCTGAATCATTATTTGCCTTTTCATAAATATATCCTATCTTCACATTAAAAGGGTAGGAATTGTAATTTATTTGTAACCTTTAAACCTAACAATATCCGACATTTAATAAATTCATGTTGATGCTTCCCTATTTGCAGGTTTTTAAGTGTATAATCATCTGCACCCACAATACTTAACCCAATTAGTTTCTGCCTTATTTTAAATTTTTAAGAAACCTCTGATGATGATATCCTGAGGAAAGAAAGATGCTGAAACTCTTTCACCACAGCAGTCGGTGGCTCTGCCTCTTTGTAAGATGTAAATGCCTGAAGTACAATTGTTTGGAGGTTTGTGCCTGATCAGGAAAAATGATCCCCCCTTTGAAATAAAGAGTCAAGTACATGTTCAATATTCCAATGGACATTTATAATGCTGCGGCACTTTGAGGGAAAAGAGAAGTTGAGAAGAAGTTTTAAGTTGGATGATAATTGTGGTCATTAGCAATATTGTGGGAGAATGTATTCTACTGGAAATCTCCCACTTGAAGCTGCAGAGCATTTTCCAAGAAGACATAAGATAAGCAAAATTCAGTCTTAGTATTAACCATGTAGAGTACTGTGTGGTTCAAAGAGATGAGTACTTTTTCTGGATTCCTCTATATTCATGACATCATTCATTCAAATACTTACTCAGTGCTTATTAAGTGCCAGACACACTACTAAGCAATAAGGTCTATGTTGGCGTGCAAGACTCATCTCCACGCACTAATGAAGCTTATGTTCTGTCTCCTTTGATCCAGCATTTTCCCTCAAAACAACTCCAGGCTTGTCCAGCTAGTATATGGAATAAGACCTATCTGTAGCTGGTATTAGTTTATGCATTTCTCTTCACATAGAGTGAATACTGAATACATTTTTACAGAGCCCTGACATTACTAAGTAAGTACCCTGAGAGAATGAGCTTGTGTGTTACCACTAATGATCAAAGCTCCACGCCTCCTAATTTCAAGGGATTTAATTAACACATCCACTTCATACTGACCAACCTGGTTTCACCTCACCCAAGTGGTACTCTATTAAATAATGGTAGCCTCACAGGACTCTATCACATGACTTGACTTCCAGCAACTCAGGACTCTCCTGACCCAATACTGTCTTCATTCCTTCTAGTAATGAACTTACAGCTGCCATTTTCTCAAATAGTAAACATATTAACCCTGAAGTAATGAAAGATGATCAAAGTCACTAACAGCAAAAATAGACTTTATTCTGTGTTGGCTTTTTGCCTCTCATACAAAATGCCTGAGAAAAAACAACTTAAAGGAGAAAAGATTTATTTTGGCTCACATTTTTAGAGGCTTAAGTTCATGGCCAGCTGGCTCTGTGATTTCTGGGCCTATTGTGAAGCAGTACACCATGGTGGAGGTGATGCTGTACATCATGGTGGAAGGGTATGAAAAAAAACAAAGCTGCTTACCTGATAGTATTTGGAGAGCTGTGAGAGGAAGGGGCCATGGACAAGACACAATTCCCAAGGGTATGTTCCCAAGGACTCTCCCTTCAACTCAGGCCCATTTCCTACCATTTCTACTACCTCTCAATAGGCCATTAAATTATGAATCCATCAATGGATTAATTTATTGATGAGGTCAAAGCCATCATTATCTAGTCACTTCCCAAAAGTTCACCTCTGAGCATTGTTGCATTGGATACCAAACTTTCAACACATGAGCCTTAGGGGAAAACCTCAGATCCAAATCATAACAGTGTCTGAAGATATTAAATGTTTAAAGGTCTAAATATCTGGACTTCTGCCCTGTCAGGCCAATGTCATTCCTAAGCTTTTTAAATAAAATAATGCCATAAGAGCTACATTCTGACTTGTTTGCCTGGCTGTAGAATTCATTGCAGGGAACCCAGAATTTTAATCAATGTTGAGGCCTCTGGGAGCTATTTCACACTTTCCAGATATATAGTCAAACATTTCTTTTGTTGGCACTAATTGCCTTGGTCCCCACTTAAGGAATGTAACATTCAAATCCAGAACTTGAGTCCTTTATTGCTACACTTCAGTTACAGAAACAAACCCACAAAGTTTGCCATTCTCCATTTTTGTCACTTATAATGCATTTTCTTTAAAACACACAGCAGCCAACTTTTGTGTCCATGTCTTTATTGGTTTTGGTGATCAGTACAACTGCTTTTGCTTCAAGTGCTGTCATTTACTCCTTTGTGTTCTAGGAATCATTAATTCCAGCCTCGAATATGCTAGACATTAGAGATAGTTTTTGCTTTAATAGGCATGCAAAGATAAAAGTAACGAAATAAAAAATGAATGGCCCTGCTTCAGATAAAGAAAACCATATTTATGAAGAAGAAATTCAGATACCGCAAATTCAGATACCGCATCAAAACTTCTAAAACTCCTAATGTGATTTCCTTTAATGGACTATCAAAACCAGATATCTAGATAGTGGCTAAAATTCAAACATTGATGGTCTTCTCTTTGGTGTTATTTAAGAGGCAAAACACATTAGCAATTCAATTCTTGGTGTAACAAACATTCTGGCTTATGTTGGTTAGATAATCTTCATCTACTTCTCTTCCTACATATAGAATTACTCATTACTTCTGTAAGATGGACAACTCATAATACAAAAATAGGAAATCTGAGGTTCTGTGAAATTTAAGGTGACAGAAAAATACTGCTTGAGCGCCATTTTTCTGTCTTTATTCTTCTATTTTTGTTTCTTCTTCTTGGAAATTTTACTAGAAATACTACCGTGATAGAAAAAAATAAGATGATGATAATAAAGGTCAAGTGTGAAATTCATGCTTTTGTATTAGATCTTGTCAAAAGTGACTTTGGTTTCTTGGTGACTGCATTTGTCACATTCTTTGCTCAGGTGTGAGGACAGGAAATACACTTGCGGTAAGGAGCACCAGAAGGAGGCAAGGAACCAAGCTCTCCAAAGGCAGGTTTCCTTTCCTGAAGAGGGCAAGACACAGCAGCTCACTTGAAGGAGGCTCTCACCACCCTGTTCTTGATAGGCTGCGGAGGGCGCCAGTTCCCCACAAGGGGCACCGGGGGCTCGTTCTCTGCGCTGGCAAAGAGGCTGCGCAGTTTGGCCATCTGCAAGGGGCAGGGCAGATGGTTAGCAAGGTATTTGAACCAACTGGGCAAAATAGAGTTAGAAATCACTGACTTTCTAAACAGGACAAGCAAACCCTAAATCATATCTCCAGCACTCAGTCCAGAGCTAGTTAGCTACCAGTTCCTGAGTAATATAATTTTGTTTGTTTGTAAAGCCTTTTTCCTCCCCATTTAATACAAGATCACCATACCCTTTGGTCAAACCATTTCCTCCTGAATTCTGAAACAATTCTTTTAATTTGAGAGGTTGGTATGAAATACACATTTTATATAGAAAGGCATGACGATTTAACATAGGTGCAAACAATTATAAGCTTAATAGGCCTTCATTATGTAAGTTCATGAATGGATTATTTTATTTTATTTTATTTTTTAATTATACATGGACACAATGTCTTTATTTTACTTTCTGTGGTGCTGAGGATCAAACCCAGTGCCTCATGCATGCTAGGCGAGCACTCTACCTCTGAGCCATAACCCCAGCCCCCCCCCCAAATCAATTATTTTAAAAGAGCAAAAAGAAACTAGAGTCATTTTCAATTTTGAGCTTTTTTTCATTAAAGGACCAGAAAATAGGAATATTATATTTTCACATTAAAATGTTTTTAGCTTTTCTTCTTGGAAAAATTTTATTCCTTTTTCAAAATATTTATACCAATGAGTAAGACCCTTCAATCTGAACTTTTGATAAAATTGTCAGTTTATGTATGTGACTCCGCACTGGCAGAAATATGAAAGTTAATGTTGATTGGGCAAGGGAGACAGTAGTGGACTGATGTAACTATTGTAGGAGCATTCATGTTCTCTGTGTTGTTCACTTGCTTCAATGTTTTCTTTCCATGTCTCTGAACACTTACTTTCTCCGAAATAGTTTTTCTTGAGTAAATGGGGGGAGAGGTACCAAGGACTGAACCCAGGGCCTTATGCATGGCCAGACAAGCAGTCTCCCCACTGAGTTACATCTCCAGCCCCTTGAAAACCTCCTTAACAAATGTTGCTAAGCTGTTCTTTGGATGAACAGAAAGACTAGAAGCCTGAGAAGAGAAGCCAAGAAGTGTTGGAAGCAGACAGACCAAAGCTGGGCTTAGGATCCTGCACTTGACTGTGTTTTCATGGGTAAATTACTTTACCTTTCTGAGACTCAACATATTATCTGTAAAACTGGAGAAATAATATATACCTCACAAGAATGTTAAATCCTTTTTTATTCCCTTCTCCCTCCCTGGCCTCTCTTTGCCAACCCATTCTCTAACCTGTGCTCAGTATTTCGGGTACATTCAAATAAATGTAGACTCACTTATATTAATCTAAACCCTTAAGTGTTTTTAGAGCATAAACTTAGTCATTGTTTACTATCACAACTACTTTTAAACCATCTGCACCTATTCTGGTACTCTTGGTACTCCTGTGCCAAGCTGATTATAATTAACCAGGGCAAACTGTGAAATCTCTAGGAGCAGAGCTGTTCCTAAGTATCCATTCAATAGCCATATTTTTCCATGTAGCATCTGTATCTTCTACGGGCAGCCAGTGTATAAATGCCGGAGCCCCAGAGACGCTGTGATGGTCTTTTACCTGGTCGGAGCTCACGGTGATGGGCTCCTTCAGGAGCAGCCACACGATGCACTCCTCACAGGGAGGCGTGGTGAAGGAGCCGTGGTAGGTCCAGTAGTCCCGGCAGGCAGGGAACAGGCAGGACGGGTCAAAGTGCGTGAAGGGCGCCTCCTTCCCCTGAAACAAGGTAAGGCACAGGCTCTGTGAATTGACGCACACACGGCCACACCCCAAAAGTCTCTCCATTGCATTTGTGCAAATAGATTTCAAGTTCAACAGAGATACTGGAACTTTTTACCAAGGCTCAGGCCTTTCAGAAATAAAGGGCAAAGGTTTGGGGAGCTGTGATATTGTAAAATATTACAATCATTGTAATATTTTATTCCTTATCGTTTTAACCACTAGCAGAGCTATAATTCTACTGCTTCTTATGAGGGAAAACTCATACTGTATATAAAACATAACAGAAGTATTTCATATAGGTTGATGTTTTAAGTTCTTGATGATAACAGGCTTGCATTTTAAGCGAATGCTATATTTCAGATTACTTACTTATTTTAGTGGTATAACTTAATAGCAGGTGGGGACTGGTGCTGTAGCTCAGTGGTAAAGCCCTTGCCTCACATGTGTGAGGTACTGGGTTTGATCCCCAGCACCATATAAAAAATAAAGATACTGTGTGTTCATCTACAACTAAAAATATATATATTTTTTAAAAAAAGTTAATAGCAGTAAATTTGAATAGTCCCAAAGACAACTAAAATGTGTCTGCTAATTAGATGAGTCAACTGTTAGGATTGAAAATATATAGGGCAGCACCAGGATTTAAAAGACCAGCATGGCTTACATTGAGAATCTCTGAGATCCTGGGCATGTATGTGGATGGGGAGGGAGAGGGCAAGGTGACCACTTCATTGCTCTGATTCTCACCCACTTCCTTGAACTATGTATTTGAAATGTGAAATTGCTCTAAAAACCATACAAATATAATGGCATTTATTTTTATATGCAAATGAGCATATCTATTGGACATAGCATCTGATTTTAGGTGAAAAAATACACTTGAGAGTGTAAAAGAAAAAACTGATGTACTCTGCCTTATGCTTTAGGAGGGAAATTATTTTCTCTTACCTTTGTCTTAATTTTGTCCAGTGCATCAAGTACAAGCTGGAATTCGCCTTTCTCCCGTCCTATCTAGAAGGAAAATTGAAATCCCGCATGATGTTTTCCCCTCTCCATAATTTAAGATTGTCTTAAAAACTGATTTTGATCCATCATATGCAACTAGTGTTTATAACTCTGCCAGAATGTCATGTACTAAGCAAAAACATGAGTTTATCCCCCCACCCCCAGATTTTAGAGGATACATTTTCTGATCTAAACTTAGACTTTAGGCCTCTGAAGTACAAAACCACAAAATTACATGTTGCTCTAGTTCTACACCCTTGACCTTCTCTGGAAAATTGTTCCATTTTCTTTCTTTCTTTCTTTCTTTCTTTCTTTCTTTCTTTCTTTCTTTCTTTCTTTCTTTCTTTTTCTTTCTTCCTTCCTTCCTTCCTTTCTTTCTTCCTTTCTTCTTTTTCTTTTCTTTTTTTTTATAGAGTTAGAGCTACAGTGAACTTTATGTATCTGAAACTAAATCCATTGTCTTTCCTCTCAAGCCCACTTCAGCTCCTATTGTGTTGTGTTTCAGCCCTGAAAATGACCCAGTCAATTCAGAACATAAAGCAAATTAGGTCATTCAAAAAGAAAGACACCAGATTGTCACCTCTGGCTTAAAATCTAGATTGTGTTACAACCAAATTTATGTGTTAATGATACTAAGTCCTCTTTAAACCAAGGCTGGCTCAACAACACACACATTCCATGTGCTATCTTAGCTAGGGATCATGTGGGTGGTGGCCACCTTAAGCTGAGGGGATGTCCAGCCAGCTACTTGGCATCACAGAAGTTCCCAACATGGGCTTTTCTGGTTTCCAGTGCAGTTGAAACACAGTAGTGAAAAGAATAATGAGCACATGCCACCCTCACCCTCCTCACCACCTTAATAAGGTCCCTTGAGTTTTTATCCCCAACTCTCCACACACAAACATCTTAAGAAAATTTAGAAGTACCGGGTATTGGAGTTTGGAAAAAGAAATACTTTTAGCAAAAAAAAAAATACTCTGAGTTTATTTTAGCAAAAATGTCTGGATTACTTGAGTGAGTAATGATCAGTATGTGGAGGAAGGAAAAGATACAAATACACCCTTCAGACATCAGGAAGGAATGGAAATCATAGTATCCTCATCATTGATAAGGGACTACATTTTTAAAATTTAAAAATATGGTCGATTTTTACCTTACCTTCAGAAAAATGCCAACCACAGCAATTCCATCAGGCTGCTTCAGAGCTTCTCCAAAAGTGTTATACTTTGGATTCCAGTGAACCAAGTGAAGCTGAAACCATAAAATACAGGTTATGAGGTAAATCCATGGAATAAGAAAACGAGTAAAAAAAAATTTGCAATAATCAAAAACAGGTGCATTCTAAGGATTGTTGCTTCACATTCTCATAGAAGTTGATAAAATTCTATATAATAGCATGCAATCCTTTGGTGAAATTGTTAATGGTTCAAATAAAATGTATTTGAAATTACCTACTTCCTTATAGCCAGGGCCCTAGAACCTAGTGGCAACCTTATCTTAATTTAGAACATGTGCACCCATTAAGTTAATCAGGTTTTCCATATTGAGCTACTTAGCATGGCAAAAAAAAATGTGTATATAATAGTTTATGGCAGTTAAAATATTTTATTAAAGATCAAAAGTATAGTAATAATCCCATAGGTAAAGGTCAAACCCAAGGGCTTTCCCACGTCTGTAAAAAATAGCCTAAACTTTCCCCATTTTTGGAGAAGATGTCTAATGGCAAAGCATTCTAAGTAATTACTCTTGGCACTGGCTCTTAAAATTGGCTACAGATAAATGGACTGATCATAATGAAGTACTTTGGGTTTCTAAGAGTTTAATTTAGAAAACAATTGTGCTGCCTAATGATAGGCAGTTAGGAGAATGTTCCCACATGCCTCCAGTTTCTACCTCAGCCACTATGTTGACCAGAGGTTGCCCTTGGAAAGACTGAAGTGGGAAAAATGAATGGATCCTCATCTTTAGGGCACTACTTACTGGCTTGACTTTACAAAGAGATCATAGAGGTAGCTTCTCTTATTCTCTTTGTAGTGTAATGTCTTGATCTGAGCTGTTAAGTCATGATTTTTTTTAATGGGCTGAGACAAAGAGTAGTATTTGCTTATATTAAATTGTATATATATATATATATATATATGTTACATAATGCATACATTTATATGCACACCTTCATTAAAAATTACAATGTGAGCATTAGTCAGAATTATTGACTGCAAATTTTAAAACATTATATTCTTATATAAGAGACAGCATAGAGCATGAGGGAAGATGATGAACTCTGAAGCCAATCTGCATAAAGAAAAGCACCAGGTCTAGCACTCGTCAACTATGTACCTGTTATGTTACTTTTCTGTGCCTCCATTGCTTTACCTGTAACCTACTGCCTAGGGCTGCTGAGAGGATTAAATGAGTCCATCATGTACATACTTAATAAATACTAGCTATCCTTATTGTTCTAGTTCCATGCAGGACCCTTATTGTTCTAGTTCCATTCATATGTTAAGCAGCTGATTTCTTAATAGAACCTTGGAAGTCTTCATGCTTAACACTAACCCACGCACACCCCTTTTTACTGTCTACCCTAGAATGTTTGGCAGCTCCAGTGTATGCTGACACTACAACTCTTTTCACTACAGGCTTGAAGCAAAAACAATGGGTATTGTTTAATTGCTGCACTTGTTCTTTTTAATCTCTGAGTTTTCAATGTGGGAGACCTAGAGTAGATTCTGGCCGTTCCTCCTACCTCTGCTGCATACTTGACACCATCCACCGTGTGCTCAGAGCCATGGTCATCGGAGGAGCCCCAGTGAAGGTGAAACTGGCGAAGTCGGTAGGGCCCAGAAAGAGGACCGCCTCTCAGCACTGTGATTTGGATAAGCAAGGTCAGCAGTAATTCACATTTCCTGCAGAGAGCCCTACTTTACACAGGTACTCTTACCAGCAAGAGGTGGTCAGTCTACTGGGCAGATGGAGCCATTCGCAAGCACACCAATCTCCTCACCAAATGAAGTCTTGAGACACATCAAAATAAGGTGCTTTCTTTTCTGTCCTTCTTGTTTTGTTTGCTTGTTTTATTATTTTTAAAATGTGATTTGAACATTTTTTTAGTTGCTCAAAACATTACATTGATCTTGACATATCATATATCATACATTTGTTTCAAATGGGGAATGAATTCTTATTATTCCCACGTGTACAGATTGCAGGATCACATTTGATTTGAACATTTAGAAAAATAAAATTAAAATAACAGATGGACAATAAGAATGTGTATACCCAAAGAACAGATCAGTGATGCGGTGTGTAGGAAGAACTTGACAGTTGATAGACTTAAGTTCCAATCCTAGTTCTACCCCATGAGAGCTGTGTGACTTCAGACAAGTTGCTAAATTTCTCTGAATCATTTTTGCATCTCTAAGAAGGTGATAATAATTCCACACTTTCAGAGCTGCTGTGAGGATTAACTGAGATTAAACACCTTAATGGTGTTCATCACAATGCCTGCATGGTGATCAGTGCACGTACATGAATTCCTCCTTCATGTCTTGCTTTCGACTACACTTTTTTTTTTTTTTTTAAGGAATACAAGCAAGAACTTTCACCCACATCTAATTTAGACTCTGTCTACTCAAATCAGATGAAATTGAAAATTCATAAATTTCCCAGGAAATCAATCACTGTGGATTGCTAAACTTAGTAATTCTTGGTAGCAATAATTTGGGTTTCTTGAATGAATGTCTCAATACATTCAGCTTAGGGAAGAGTTTAGAGGTTCAAATATCTTCCAGAGGACATTGGAAACTATGCAGAAACATTAAATCAAGGTCTAGCCACATAAGCTATCAAAATAGAATTCAGAGGGAAGCTATTTAGGAAATGACTGGCCACTCTAAGTGGGACAAAGATGTAAAACGAAAATGCTAGGCCTGTTTGAGCTTGGTCATGAAGGAAGAAAGTGGTTTGAGGTGTTGTATTTTTTTCTATCCAATTGCTTGAAATAGTTACTATCTGGACATATGAGTCCAATTTATTAAATAAATTACATGAAATTGCAAATATTCAACTACTGACTGCTTAAAAAATGGCATTTTTCATGTGGTTCAACCTAATGAAAACTGTCTAATTTCATTGCTTTTCCTTCAAAATGGATCTTGTTTTCAATGGTGAGAAAGGAGAGAGAGCAACATGAAATTATTGTTTAAGAAAAATTAAACTTCTATTATATTACTTACTTGGAACCTTCTGGTAGGCAGAAATTCTGATTCTTCTTTTTTACATCACTAAGAACATTCATGTATGTATATAAATAAGGATAATTTTAAGTTTATTAGAAATGTGGTTATAAGAAAGTGTGTTATACACATCAGGCATAAATTATTAAAGAAAAAGTGTTGCTTACCTCATTTATGGTAAAATAAGACATTTCTAATTGTACTTTTATTTCATTGATTTGTTTACTAGGGTAGATTAAACTTTAAAAAAGAAAAGATAATTTATCACAAATACTCAAGAAAAAGAAGATCAGATACTACAAAATACACTCACTAGAAGGATAAATCAAATGAACCCCACTGAAGCCCTGAAGCCCAGTCATTTTGACCCATATGAAGGCCTCTTCTCTCCCCTGGATTGGCCTCCTCTGGGCACGAGGGGAAGAAAATTCATGTTTCTTTATTGTATTTCTTGCTTTGTAGAAGGGAATCTCTGTCAAACGGGGGAGTGGGAGCCTTGCACTCCTTGCACTGTGGTCAGAAAGCACAAGAACCCTCGGCTATTGGCCATCGGAGTTGGAATACGAACTTGGATTCATTGCCATCGCTGTCCTATCAAGCTCCCATTTCGGGAAAGCATTGCCAACTCTTAGCTTGGGCATGGGGCCATTTTGCAACAACAAAGTATCAGAATTAGAGGGTGAGACATTCCTCTTCATTGCATAAATATAATTCTTCACAACTAAAGCAAAGTTGAATGTCACGTCATCTCCATTTTCAGGGATGAAGGGCTCCCTCTTCCTACTAATTCTGTTACCATGTCATAACTCACATTTGCCAGAACAAACAATGAAAACATCCAAGTGCCCCTATCTAAGTGCTATACTTACTTGACCTATCATAAGTGTCATCAAACACAACTCTGCAGGTCTTCCCATTGTTCAGGATGGTTTTGGCAGAGCCAGGATCATAAGATGCTGACCAAGGCTGCAGAGAAGGGTCATGCTTGATGTCTTTAGTATGCAGCTCAATGGGCGACTGGTTGTCACCCTTGGCAATTGGGTAAAGTTCATGCCAGTGATCAGGACCTAGGAAACAAGAGTTGAGATTTATTTATTTGGTGGTACAACCCAATAACTAAGGCCTCTTTCAAATTGACGAAGCCAACAAAATACTCGAATGCTAGATAATGATTACAAAAGATCTGGGGTTCGAACTGAGCAATATAAGACTTAGTATTTAAGATCTATTCATAGTTTTGCTAATAGTATATGTGGAGGCTATATTTAATTCTGTGTATTCCTGCTGCTGTCTCAGGAAGATGGTCTGAAAAACTTATTTTTAAAATAGACTTAATTCATTGACCACATAAAGTTTTTGCATCGCTGTAATTTTCAGAACACAAAGGTATCCTTTTCCCACGGGTTAGATAGTAGGTGGAGCAGAAATTCTTATCTCAACACTAGCCTGGGAGAGATTATGTGTGTGCTGGGTCTGGGAGTAAGGGACAATCAGATCTGTACCTCGGGTGCTCTGACTTCTCAGTCAGAAGCAACATCATTTAGGCAAGTTAGGAACTCTGAGCATCAGTTTCATCCAAGGAAAACACCAAGTCGATATAAAGGAGAACTAAATGAGATAAAGGCAAAAAGACCAGCAGCATTTGGCACTTGAAAAATTGCTCAGTAAATGTTAGTTTTTACCCCCACTCCAGGCTTGCATTTTCCAGAGCACTCCCTAGAATCGCCTACATTCTGTGCAATGCCAGGATATACTCTGGTAGCATCCTGGACCAGGGGCTGCAGCTGCCGGCACTCACCATTGTGGTTGGCGTAGCCCCACTCCTTGGCCATGGTAGTCTTTGTGAGAGCTGGATGGATTCTGTCTCCTCTCTCCGGGCGCGTCATGCAGAGCCCTCGCAAGTCCTCGCCTTTTATATAGGTCCCCAGCACACTGCATGGCCTTATTAGGTCAGCGAAGGTGGGGCAGGGGGCTAAACTGGATTGGGGTGGTATTTGGAAGGCGGGGTGGGGGAAGCCAATGAATTACAAGAGTTGCACAGCTGTCGGGGACCTGAGGGGTGGATGGAGGGGGGCGGAGTGGGTGAGGTCCCCACTCCCCGCCCTCGCCCAGGAACCCTGGCTCCTGGCCCTTGCATCTCTCTTTCTGGGTGTCCTAAAGCTGCAGGGCTTTCCAAGCGGCGCCGACGTGCAGAAATGCGGGTGGCTTTCGACTGGTCCTCCCTCCCCCTCTCCTTCCTTGCTTTTGGAGAGTCCGAGGGGTGCCGAGAATGCAGTGCAGTCGCTGTGCTTAGCCGTGAACTGAAATCTGCATCCCGGCAGCTTGTGCTGCCTGACTTAGAAGTTGCTTTTGCCACAGATTGACGGTCTGGCTGCGGTCTCTGGACGCTTCTGCGAGTTCTTTTTCACCGCAGCGATCCGGTTACGGTGACTGGAAAGAACCCATTGGTTTGCCTGACCCATGTTTGACTCCATTGCAAATAACTTGTAAAAATCTAAGGAGCAAAAGATGGAAAGAAAGAGTCCAGGAGAGCACGCTCTCTAACCCCGTTATCTTTAAAGAGATTGTCCTTTCCCTGGAACCGCACCAGATGGCATTTCCCAACCTAGCGGGTCGCTTTGGTCAGCAACACGCCAAGGGCTGAATCTGGGAGAGCGCAGGGCATCTGGGAGATGCCTGGATCCCGGGTTCGCGCAGAGCAGGAGACTGAGACTGACGTTGCCCTACTCTGTGAGCTGTACCTCTGCCCAAGTTCAGGAAAAGCCAAGCATATCCTGAAATATTGGAAGGCCGCTATCATAAAACGAGTTGCAGTACCTAAAATATATGATTTCACTCACCAAGCCATAATGAGAGATTGGGGGGAAAAAAAGAAGAAAAGGTTAACAGAATGTTTTTACATTTTTTCTTCCCCTCCTAAGTTGTTTCATAATTCCATGAACCACAAGAAGGAGAATAAAACTGGCAAATCTAGTGTATACGTGGCAAAAGTACAGTTTAAAATACCTGGTTATGGTTTGCATTGAAGAAGTCAGTGTAATAGATATTTACAATTCTAAGACTATATTTTAAAATTTCTTCTGTTCTAAATCAGTAATCATTTTTTAAAAGACAACAAGGAAAGATAAGCCAAATGTCAATGCTTTCTTAAACAAGATTTCAGTACATGCAACATGTTTTTTAAAATTAATTTCTTTGAATTTTTGTTTATGATAGTATTTTGTATTGGGGATAACAAAACTTGAAAAGGAAATCTCTCATCATGGCAAAGATAGCTCATCCCTAAGGCATGTGGAATGAGTGACCACACTCATAACCTGGACGCCAGGGGAGTCACTGCCTGGGATATTTTTGTGACCAGGGATTATTTGATCCACACAATAGCAGTGTGCAATCAGGAACCAAAGCACTTTGGAAAATCTAAGCAAACACAGCAAAACAAATACATTTAGATTCTGAGCTCAGATATGTCACTGTTGGATCAGAAAGTGTAGAGTTAAGATGCCTGGGCCAGGTTTCCAGTTTGTTATGGTAGAGTGGTGCTATATTTTTGGTTAATGGAAGTGTTTTATATTTTTTATCAACTCAGTAATTATTGGCATGAGTAAACCATAATCTTGTCTGATCAGTTCAATTGTTACAATCTCTCTTTCTCTAGTATTTGTGGTTAGAAGATTGGAAACTAAATTTCATGTTATTTGATATTGTAGTAATGCAATTAAGATATTTAATAACATATTTATCCCAAGAGCAATCTAGGAATTAATAATGCATTACTGTTTATGCATAAAAATTTCTTGTAAGTAAGTTATTTGTAATTAGTTAAAGAATATGCACAGTGGCAAAGAATTTCAAATAAACACTAAGTAGAATTTGCACAATGAAATATTTAATATTTTAGATATATGGCCTTGAAAATGTTGATTGGCATTTTATTGTACTTTTTTTTTTAATACTATGGATTGAACCCATGGGTGTGCTTCACTACTCAACCACATAGCTAGTCCTTTTTATTTTATATTTTGAGACAGTATCTCCTGAAGTTGCTTAGGGCCTTGCTAAGTTGCTAAGGCTGGTCTTGAACTTCCAATCCTCTTGCCTCAGCCTCCAAAGTCGTTGAGATTTTATTGCACTTTCTTATGAGAAGTTAATTTTTAAAAGCTGTAATTTTAAGACAATTTATATCAAATCAAGTAATTTTAGATCATAACAAAATTTTTAGAAACCTTATCAGAATTCACCTACAAATATGTTTTTTTCAGAAACCTCATCTACAAATTTATCATCTGCATCTTAATTGATTTATCCCAGCATATTTGTCAGTAAATTTCAAAATTCCTTATCAACAGAGCAAAGACATAATTCTAAATTGTGTCCAAGACTTTGAGATTTCTGGAGTTGCTTGAAAAAGAAAGCTGTTAAGGGCTTGGGATATAGTTCAGTTGGTGGAGTGCTTGCCTTGCATGCATAAGGCCCTGGGTTCAATCCCCAACACCACTACCACCACCCCCCAAAAAAGAAAGAAATATAGCTTTTAAATATACACTGAGATTTAAAAAAAAAAAAGAGTTACCAGTGCTTACAAATTGTTTCCTAGCACATTGACAGCAGTTCTCCCAGCACCATAATTGGAAAGCTGATATAGTGGGCAAACTACAGGATTCTTACCCCAAAACAAGTGCACACATACAGAAAAGGAAAGAGAGACCAGAGAAACCAAGAAAGAAATTATGGCTAAACAGTTACTGGCAGGAAAAGAATAATTGAATATGACTGTTTCAATGCGATTGTTTGTTAAAACCATAAATTTAAAAGATCTAGGGTAATAATATTTAAATATAATTTATTCATGATTTAGCATTTTGTTTTCCAACATACCAGGTAATATAACAAATTCAAATCTTCAAGTTGAAGATTTTTCTATTGCAACAGAAATTTTTTTTAAAAAGTGAGAAATGTATGACTTATTTACCTCTGGAGATCAAACCATAAATTAAAATTTGAAGTAATTATATAACTGGTTTCAATATTTTATATATTATAGGGGTATTTATTTTTATGACATTTTTATTTTTATAGACTAAGTTCTGCAGTAGAAACATAAAAATGGCTAATAAAAATAAAAACTTGTAATTCATTTATTTAACCATCACAGATACCATAATTTTGACCTTCCTCCCTGACTAACCGTATTTTGTAGGAAAGGATAAGCTCAGCTCCTGTTTGTCACCAGTGACAGCTGGTCACTTGGGTCAGAGCTTAAATTTTGGCTCCTGTTCATGGCAAAGTTGTAGGAGAGCAGCCTGAGGTCTTATCCCAACTGTGGCCTGTCCCTCACTGGAATGTATCTACCTGAGATAGTCACTCACTTTATTTGAAAATGGAAGCATGAATCCAAAGGTGAAGTTCTTCTAAACCTATGCAGGAAGATTTGATCATCAGGGTCCATGAGTTTGAACTATTTTCTTCCACATATGAATTCTTTTAAAACTTAGCAGCATCGTAAACAGAGAAAAACTCATTAAACTTCATGATATCTTTTCTTAGAATCATATTAGGATGATTAAGTCTAGTTTTTAATAACTTGATGGTATCTGCTTGCAGAATTAACAAGTTGTTTTGTTTTGTCATTTCAGAAACATTTCCATGACATTTTGCCTATTTATTTATTTATTTTATGTTTTTGCCCCAGGAGCCTCATCTGGGAAATGGAGTTGTGTCTGTCTTACAGGGTTCTTGTGAGGCTTAAATGAGATAATACATAAGGCACTTAGCACAGCTTAGGCCAGTGTAGTTAATACTCAGCAAAGTCAGTGCCCTTCTCTGGCCCTGTTCATTTCATCTAATTTCTCTCTGGGCTGTCACCTTCCCTTAATAATCCTTGTTCCTTGTTGGCCATAAACAGTGCCTTCAGTGAATGTCTCAAAGCATAGGTGCCAACCCGTGGACATCACTTAGATGAAGGATACTTTCTGCCTCTATTAAATAAACATAAATAAACACAGCCTTCACTCTTTACTTCAACAGTTTTGAGCTGTTCGACCTAATCACCCATTGGCCCTTCTCACAGTGGGAGTCAAAGCAAACTTTTTAAACCATATGCACACACACACATACACACACACACACACACACACACAAAGTGCACTAATCTAACAAAATTTACTGAAATTCATAGCTCTGGAATAAGAACTTAAAAAAAAATCATGTAATTCCTATACAGCTTAAAACTTCTTTGGCATATTGTTTGATAAACTAGTTTTTAAAAGTAAAATTCAGACTCCTCTAGGTGGCACTGAGGTGTTTTCAGACAGCCTATCCCAATCTTTTCCCACACTTGTCCATCCTTGGCTGTTGCTGCAGTTCCTGTGGTCTTCCCATAACACCCTCTATACTTTCTCAGCCTCTGCCTTGGCACAGGAAATGCCCTTGAGCTTAATTGTCCTCCCTTCATTTGTACCTGATAAATTTAAACTGCTTACCTTCACAGTCTACACACTGGACGGTGTTTGTGTAATTTTTCACACTGAAAAGCTGTCACCTTTAAAAGCAGTTCTCTAAAAAACATGATTTCTTTTGCTCCCTGCCACCATTTTGATTCAAGGCCAAGCCACTGTGGAGTTTTGCTTTGACTCCTGTTGGGAAAAGAGAGAAGAGAACTGTTTCCACTGTGATGTAAATAATTTTTGCTTCCCTGTGGGGTGGAGAGAATGACATACCAACCAACCTCAATTCTACAGAAACTCGGGGGAAAAAAAAATCTCAATTCTATTTCTGGCTTTCCTCATTAAGAGTTGTAACCCTAAGCTGGTCAGTTGATTTCTCCAAATAATAACTTCCCTGGACACTTCACTCCATTTTTAGCACCAAATGAAATAATTTATGTGCTACCACTTGAAAACGAACATTTTGCACTTATCATTAGTCTCATTTTATGAATTTAATTGAATAAATA